TGCAAGGTCTAAAAACTCAGGCGTCACTGGGGTTTGGCGCATGCCCTAGCAAAATTTGCAAAGAAAAAGCAGCATATGAATTCAAGCACCATCGTAAGGCACTATCAGGCTCTAATGAGGCTTCACTTTGAGGCCTTGAGGACTTCCCTTCCCATTGTGATTTTTTCCTCGCAAGAACAAAACTGCTCAAGACTTCATAACCAGTGAATGGAAGTTGCACCTATTAGTGGGTCCCCCTTCCCTCCCACCTCTCCTCAGGCAAAGAGGAGTACGTGGCTCCCAGACCATCATCTCTCCAGACAATTTCTTTGTCTTGTCCACAACCAATGCAGGTCAGCAGTTCCAGAACTTGAGGAGATGCAACAGGCCCATCACTCCTCAACAGCAATACACCTCCTTGCTTTAGGACAAACAGCTGCTGAGAGCAGGCGGACAATGTCAGGCTGTCTGGAGACCCCAGCAGATATTGCTGTGTTAGTTACAGTCACACCACATTGGCAAGATTTTCTTTTCAGGCAAAAGCAATGAAAACAAAGGTCGGATGGTGTTTGGTATGAGAAGACTGAAGGACCAGAAGTATCTACCTGAACTTCACAGCCTTAGTGTGAAATGAAGCAGAAATATTACACTGCAGAACCACAGTTTGTGAGTGTACCTTCTTAAAAGAGCCGGGCTGTCCTTGAAAAACCTGCCTTTATTTTTACCATCTTTGAAATTAAGAAAGTCATGTTAGATATAAATACAGTGTTAAACTCCTTAAAGCAAGAACCAATGCTATGGCATTCCACATACAGGATAAATACAATGTGATCACAACTGAGGCTCCAGATACCAACCTCATGAGAATAGTAATTAAGATTAAAAACATGAGTAAAAAATCTGCCAGACTAAAGATGATCCTAACAGCCCAACTAGAGAAAAAGCATAATTATCCCTGGGTTATAAGATCACGTCTACACTGGATTTTCAGAGCACAGTTGTTACTGCAGCTAGAGTGCAGAAGACAACAAAGAAACTAAAGATGCTGGTAGTGCAGAAGTATAGTGATGTGAGAACCTGGAGTGTATCTCCTACCCTTTGGAATAGTATTTTCACTAAAAATCTTTCCTGTCCATTATTCACCAGTTCCCAGCTAAAACCTCATTTTTCTGTTGCTCTTCATTTTCTGATGCCATTATTACCTGAGCAGATTGAGTCTAAAATATTATGCCATGTTGGTATCATCCTATATCACAACACCTTCCAGTACCTGAAGGGGGCCTACAAGAAAGCTGGGGAGGGACTTTTCATAAGGGCAGTTAATGACAGAACAAGGGGAAATGTCTCTAAACTGAAAGAGGGGAGGTTTAGATTAGGTATTAGGAAGAAGTTCTTCACTGTCAGGGTGGTCAGACACTAGAACAGGTTGCCCAAGGAAGTTGTGGATGCCCCCTCCCTGGAAGTGTTCAAGGCCAGGTTGGATGAGGCTCTGAGCAACCTGATCTAGTGGAAGGTGTCCCTGCTCATGGCAAGAGGGTTGGAACTGGATGATCTTTAAGGTCCCTTCCAACCCAAACCATTCTATGATTCTATGAACACACAGACCAAACCGACAGCCAAGTGCAGAGCAGTGCAGTTTCAGACAACACTCCCTCACCAGGGTTCCTGCTCAGAAAAGACTAACAGTAGGCTTAATGTGAACCAAGAATACCTAGGGCTAGAGTTTATATCCACTTCTTTGTGAAATCTGCTCCCCTGGAGGAATGCAATTCCCAGCTTCGCCAAAGAGTGCAATGAGTAGCAACTCCTTCAAGGGAACAAGCAACTGAGTCTCTCTTTGTCAAGCACCCAGCACTCAATCGTTTAGCAGCCTGGGACTTGGGATGAATCCCTACAGATTTCAACAGGCGTTTTTCCCAGTTAAGGGAGTTAATGAGACACACATCGCACCACAGCAATGGTGTTGGTCAACACGCTGTTATAGCACTGTTCATCTGAAACTTGAGTGCTGTGCACTGTCAGCAGGAGAAAAGCCCCCCCAGTGAATACGCATACAGCAGGGCTCTTACAAAAACTCAGTATTAAAGAAACCAGCACAGACCTTTGCTCTCAGCACCTTTGTTCAGTGTATTAGTGCTGCCCCTGCCTTTCACACACCACCCAGTGAACATCACAGAAGCACTGAGCACCATCAGTGTGATTCTGCCCAGTGCAGCACTTCATGTTAACAGCCTCTACAAACTGCTAAATTGTAGTTCGTTATTAGAACACATCACTCAACATGAAACATGCACAGGAGATTCCGGGTGTTTCCAAGAACTCAGGAAATATTCTTTCTGGGGGAGCTAAATCTCTCCCTGATTTCCATAATACACATTTCCTTATGAAGGCTATTGCAAGTGAGCCCAAGTGCTGTCACACACAACTGCAGACCAACTGTTGGAACAACAGAGCTCAAGACACCAGGATTTCAGTCTAGCCAGGGTTTGTTAGTGATCTTCTATTAATTTCCTTAAAACCCACTACAAGTTCATGATGCACAAGACTTGCAGTACATGTTACGTTTCACAGGTTACCCCCCCAACTTGTCTACAAGGAAAGTAGATGTTTACATATTTTCAAATAAAACTCAAAACCCACCTTTAAAATGAAAATTTTAGATTTTTATGTCTTGTTATTGCATTTAACTGTGCACTAATGCAAAGAAACCAGACTTACTAAAAATTGCTCATACATGTGACTACAATCCCACTGATGAAATTTTACTAAAGTTACAAAGAAGTTTTAAGTGGAAATTAAGAAAGGAAGCAAAAGTGTAATTAGATAAGCCGCAGAAGAATTCTACTATGGGCTGTAAAAGAAATCTCACTGATGTACAAAACAGCGTAAACCAGCGTAAAGGCATGAGATCAAACTCACCTAAAGCAGAGTCACAGTGATGTCTTTGTCCTCGTTTCACATTCTCCATCTTCAAATCCTCAGTATCATGAATAGCAGAGGATGCCTTTCCAAAAGCTGACTCCAGCAAAAGTCCCTTCCTGAATAATTACTGTCTTAAAAATTCTATTAAACTGAAAACGGGAACTATACTCTTAGTATTTGTTACTGAGGATAGTCATCACCACCTGTTATTCTTTCAGCACTCTTGCCCACATAGCTTGTAAAAAACCCACCCTTAAACACACAATTATACACTCATTCCTGTAACATTCAGGCTCTTCCTGTCACAGATAGCAACATTAATATCTCTGTAAGCTTCACAGTGAAAAAAGACTTGAACCCATTCCTTCCTGAAAAGCACATCAGAGACATTAACATGCAATTATCACAACACTCATGCTATAACAGAATAAGATATGCATAAAATAAAACCTTCATACTGATACATGGAAGAGTGAGTGACATTTTGAGGAAGATGTTTCTGATGATTTAAAACACAATCACAAACCCAGACTCTCATCCAACCTGCATTCGGTATTGTTCTATGACTGAACAATTACATTTCTACTGAATTTTGCATATACTGTACAGAGACACACAGCTGTTTTAAAAACCATCAGCAAATGCCTTTTTAGAATGGCTGATGGCCGAGCTGCTTTCTTCTGGGGCTAAATTCTTGATGAACAATGGCAGGAAAGTCCCTCAGCCACCTCCCCTCTGATGACTTCAGAGCTAATGTTGTGGGTGTGAAGTAAACTTAAGTAAAGGTTCTTAAAAAAAAAAACAAGCCTCAGAATACATCACCCCAATTCCAGTCCCTCTCTTTAGAGGAAATATCCTTCTACTGAACAATAGCCAGGATTTGTATCTTAAAAGGCTGGAGAGGGGTGAAACTAGGGACACATTATAAAAAATACTTTCCAACTGCATTGCTACATTACACCACCACCACCTATTTGTTTAATACAGCTAATCAAGAAACGCTCTGGCAGAATCCTAATGCTCTACAACCAAATTTTTCTTTCAGTTTCAACTCCAGCTCTACATATTTGGAAGCCCATCACAACTATATTTTTCAGTATCTATAGATGAAAGCAATGTGAACTAAAAAAAAAAATATGTTTGGAATTAAAACAGAAGAATAGCTATGGCAGAGAAACCATGCAACATGTGCATTGGAATGTCAGAAATACTGTTTAATCACAACTCTGCAGTACAATGCACACTTCAAACAACTTCTATCTATGAGAATAGCGATGCCACTAAACTGAAATTTTTAAGCTATTTTTGCAGTACACTGACAAGAAGAAAAAAGTTCCAGGGTAAGAACTAAAAATTTCATTACAGTAACAATTTTTTATTTCATATTTAAAATGCATTTTTAAAAACAAATAGTGCACACTGGCTTCACTTTAATGTCCTGAAATATGCACTTACGATGGGAAGCCCTAGGGCTACAGATCCATCTATGATGTTTATTAACAAAATATTATCCCAGTATGTTTCCCCAGGGAAGAGTATTTAGTTCCAAAAGATTGTCAACCCTGTACTCTAACACACTTGAATTAGTTTTTTGTGTACACTAAATCCATTTATTTTAAATTTATTTTGTCTACATTTAGTGAAATAAAAACATCGCCCTGTACAATCCACCATCAGCAGTGAGTACAACAGCAAAAATTATTATACAGTTTATACACACTAAAATCTTTTCCTTTTTCCTATAAAGAAACCAGAACAAACCTAATCAATATAGACTTTTAATTTAGAAGAACTCAAATTACAGAAGGGAAAGCCAAAACTATTATGGTCATTTCTGAGCCCCGAGAAGTTCCTGATTCATGTTGTTGGAAGAGTGAGTGCAGCTGGAAGAGTGAAACATGCTCAAGTTGTCTTCTTGGGTCTTCAAAAAATTACCAAATACTTAAATTAAACATGGCTAATTAAAGAAACATTTGAAGCAGAGCAGTATAACTGGGAATTTTGCCTTACCAGTTGTGGTTTCTTTTAAACCCAACTTATACAATGCGCGAAGTGCTAAGCAACACTACAGAAACACATTTACATCAACACTGAAGATCTGGGGAAATGAAATTCCAACAATTTTATTTTTTTTAAATGAGCTGTATTTTCTAAATTTGTTTTTATTTTTCTGTTTTCATACAGTATTGAAAACAAACGCGGCACATTCACATTTTCCCGAAGAATTGTAAGGATGATCTCTACAGGGATAACGTTGAAAAGCCTGAAGCTCAATCAATTGATGTTGAAAACTCTCAAAAGGAGTAAAAGGCTTGATCTGAATGGTCTAGAACATGTATTGTAATTTAATAGAAGAGATGGTCGTCTTAATATTAATGATTTAAAAGAACTTCCCAGTTCATGCGAAGAGTATAGTCCAAGAATAAATCAAATTTTCTGAACGCACTTTATGCTACGTAAGTGTATACTTTGCGATCCTCAGGTGTTCGTGCCAAATATTCCCTCTCAATAAGTCCTTCAATACGTTTTTTAATAACAACTGGACTTGGTAAGAATCGGGCCTTCAGCTGCTGAGTTACCTAAAACATAAGATCAAAACCAAGAGTAAGTAAGATCATCAAGTATCCTAACTGGCCAAAATAATCAGAAAAATATATTTAGACAGAGCTGCCTACAACCATGAAGCACAAGAAGCAGTTTGCAAACTTCTGACAGTTTTTTCCCCTTGCTCATTTTTGGGTATGATTCAAAGTACTGACCCTCTACAGAGGCATGGTCACAACCTGACAATCCTCTCAATTTCACAGACCTAAGGGAGTTCCAAAGTGGGAAATGTGTACTATTCCTGAAGCTGTCAGAACTTAGGAGTTAAGAGCAGCAGGACGCCTCCTCACTCTGTTAAGAACTCAAATCTCTCAAACCTGGACCCAACAGTCAGTAACAAGATTAAAGCAGAAAATAATTAATGTTAAATACAGTGGGTTTTGTTGCCAACTGTTATTTCAAGGAATTTGATAACATCATAATAGCACCAAAAGGAGGAAGGAAAATTAGTACACCCTAAACCAAAAGGTAAGGATTTGAGTGTCTTCAGATAGATGGGGGTGGGGGAGGGGAGGATGGATTAAATACAGCATCCCTCAAAAGCCTTTCAGAATCATGTTAGTAGAGCTGTGTAACTTTCATGAATTAATAGGAAAAGCAAAAAGAATTCCCAAGCCCATATCAAAACTGTGTACAAGTATACCTCTGCTACTAGCACATTGTGTTGCATCTTCTTCCTAGATTTCATTATCCGAACTATAGCAGCTTCTATCTCATGTTTTCTGTCATCATCTACTTTCTGCCTCGTTTCTTTCCTTTCTGGATCAGATTCTCCTTGTTTGGCAGCAACTTAAGGAAAATAAAGAGAATGCAAAGTATGTTAGCAAAATTAAAATTAAATTTGTTGTGTAAGTGTTAGCTTCACTATTTATTTCACCTAGACATCAAGTTATATTTTCCTCAGTTATGACATTCTCAAACTTGATTTTTTTAATGAAAAGCAGCCACAAGAACATATTAACACTTTCTGACATATTTGATAGCAACTGACAAGGTAACAATCTGTCATTTAATTATTGCTGTGTTAAAATGTGAACAGTACTCAAATCCGCTTACAGGCACTACCAACCCCCACACTCCCACTAAATATATTTCTCTTTAATACAGCAAATAACCCATTAATTAAAATAGAAAAAGGACTGACAATTTACTTCACAAACTAGTTACATACTTTAAAAGTTCATCAGTCAGAAGAAATAGTCCAATTTTATCCTGTCCAACTCAATTATATTCTTTGTACTCTGTTCTCCTCTTCTACTTATGTTTTTTTTCTGCCCTTATGTCCAGCTTTTCTTACCCTTTCACTGTAGCATCATTATAACCAAGCCCTCCTCCCACACTACGATACCACTTCCCCCGTGCCCTTCTTCACTCAAAAGCCCCAAGTGTTTATTGGTTTTAAAGAGATACACATAAAAAGTCTTCTCTCTAAGACAGAAACACAAAACCAACAGTATCCAAATTTGCCCTAAAACTACCTTGAACCCCTATTCATATTCCTCATTCACCATCATTTGTGGAGTGGAAATGAAAAGGCAGAATTTCTCCAAAGCTTGAACAGCTGTCAAAGAATTTACTTTAATTATGCCAGAGAAGTGCCTGGGGCCCTGATCAGAGAGTTCTCAACATCCTCATTTGGCTGCTGTGCCAAACCAGCACTTTGATGAGCTAACTGGTATCGTACCCATCAGCTTCTCTTATTTGTTAAACCCAAATCATTGCCCAAAAACATTATAGCTACCTGGCACTTGGAAATGGCTGGTGTATCATGGTCTAAAAAACATCACTCAATTTCAGACCAGCAATTTACAAGGCAATTTTCTTATTTCTGAATCAACTAGTAGCATATTTTAAATTTTACTATTTAATTTGAATTTTATTTCTCTTTCAACATTTCAAGATATAATAACAAATTTTGTAAAACAAAAGGCTTAACTACGACTTCCACAGTTCTCAGTATTTAAATTTTCATTTTGATGCAACCAATCATCACCAAAAAACATATTGCTCTCTGCCTTTTACTTGTATGAACATCAATCCTGCAAAAGATAATTTGACATTTAAAGACAGTTTTGGGACTATAAGACAGCAGAATATAAAGCTGACTTACCCGTCTGAATCTTGACTCTGTGTAGTTTAGATGTGAACTGATCGTTCACTGTAAATATATGTCCATTTTCTATTTCTTTTGATTTAGGCTCTTTTGTGAGAACACGTTGTGTTGGTTTGCCACATGCAAGGGACTGTAGGGCTCTAACCAGTTCTCTTTCTGGAATATCAGTTTCTTGTTGAATTTCCTAAATAAAAATATCTTAATTAGTTCATGTCTATGGCAGGAGTAAGTACCATGTTTTGCAACCAACAGCACCGACTGCTTAAAATGTCCACCTTCAAGCATGTAAAATAATACTACTATGATGGTTGTGAGGCTTGAAAGGTTAAAATCCATTCAGTAGCAAAGTCTCAGTATGTAGCATGCAAAATGATCCACCTGGGTCAATACACAGACAGTGAATTCTGTCAAGTAAATAGTCACCACGAGCTGAAAACAGAAGAATGAATAACCAGCCCTTTCATTTCACTGTAATTTTGGAGAAGGTTGAAATTATTTGTTCACTGACTCCAACATTTGCCAAACGGAATGAAACCAAACCTTCTAAGTAACTCAGTGACAGAAAACATCCATGAAGTTCTTGAGCATTCCTGGCAAAGAACTGCATAAATGCTTTTGCATTCAGCAGCACTGTTGAAAATAAGATCTTTACAAATGGACACAAACAAGGCCTAGTTTCACTGTAACACAGAAATACTCTAGATTAACTACACATCCTTTCTGAATAACCTAAACCAACTTATTTACAGTCCAGATGCCTTTAGCTAGGACTTCTCCAGGTGGAATCCAAAAAAAATCCCATCATAGTGCAGCAAATGGATCAACTCTGAAGAATGTTTGTAAAAACATGTACATAACTTGTCACACCTCTGTCAGTATTCTTGAGTTCAGCTGACAGCCGTATGTTAGGCAAGTCACCAGTGATGATGAGTTAGTAAGCAAATGATACTGGATGCAGAATGATGTTTTAACATGCTCTAGGAGCAGGCCAACTACTACCGCTTCCTCAAACCTAGCTTGTTTACTGAGCCCCCACTCATTACAAGTTCATTTTAGCCTCATCTCTATTTTCTTCCTTTTTCTAGTTCAAGGAAACTGCAGACATCACAGATTTCGCATTCCCATCCAGACTCTTGAGGGACCTCTAGCAGCTAAAGATTAAACTACCAAATAGAAAAAATAAACCTCACAGACACATATCTGTCTACAAGACCTGTCACCTTCTCAGCTTTCCCACCTTTGGTTGCAAGAGCAGTATCAAGCTCTTCCACTGCCCCCATAAATTCCTAACGCTCGTGGCACACTCGATGACCTTAAGGCTACAAGCAGCAGTAACAACTCCCAGTGAACAAGATCTGCAAATAACTATAAAGAACTTGTTAAAAGTTCTGTAAACAACCAGAAAAGTTCAAACTTCAGAGTACAACTGAGTTCTATTAAATGATGTTATTTCTTGAGTATACTCAAGGTTTTTTTAAATCAATCCAGTAAAAAAATGCTACTCTTCTGCAGTCACCTGCCACTGACAACATGCAATAAAAATAATTTGGACATACTGGCCTCTACTCGGACTCTATCATTAATTACAGTGTATCTCATACATCTCACTACCAGTTCTCTGTGATGCCAAGGCTCAAACAGAACATGTCTTACTTTTCAACTACAGACCCAACATTACATGTACAATGTTGACTTCATGTGAAATCACGTGAAATTGTGTTTGTGACACGTTCAAATTCATTTGAATGAGGTTGAAAAAAAAAAAAAATCAGTAAGTCTAAAATTAAAAAAAATTCAGAATTTTTGATACCCACTGCTTATGGATGATTGGGAAATAATAAAACGTTCTTAAACCAAAGAGTATTCTTAGCATAATGCATACAGAAATATTCACAGTATTTGAAATAAGTTATGTGTATCCACATATTTCAACTATTTGCTAGTATCAAAACGCTTCTTCCCAAGCAGCTCACAGAATGTTACTACTTCTTCATTTGTTGCTTTACTAAAAACACAATTTTTACCTTAATGCGTCGTTCCTCTCTAGCATTCCAATTCAGCCACTAACATATGCAAACCATTTGGGTTTCAGAATTTATAAGCTAGCATTAAAATAAGAACCACAGAAAAAACTGCATTGCAATATGCTGCCTCAGAAGAAGGCAAAAACTTCAGGTTCGATAAAAAAAAAATGTAGCTGTGAACGTAAATGGGGATAACGGATGTTCCTGTGCTCTTTTCCCTTCAGTCTCCAGCATATAATTTGTCTCAACATATTTTTACATAGACATTTGATACAACAGTGAAAAATGTATACTTTTTTCCCTGTCTCCAAAAATGCCTTATTTTAAAGGCCACACTAGAATCGTGCACAAAAGCAGTACTGATTACACATTCCTAGTTCTAATATTACCAGGTGAGCTCTCTCTGGAGGCTACAAAAGGGATGGTTCTAGGCACGGAACTGACCCTGTGCAGTTCTACACAAGAAAAAAGTTTATTAGCAGGAAAAGGTGCAGAAGGACATTAGAAGGTAAAAACATTACATCATTTTGTTGAAATGCCAAAAAACCCCCCCAAACCAGATTTTTATTTACAGACTTCCACTCGTGTATCTTCCAAAGCAGAGATCAGCAAAAGAGAAAACAGGTAAGCTAGTTTTAAGTTCTAATCTCTCATTTTTGGTGGAATTATTCAACAACTTTACTTCTACTACAGTTACATTTGTATTTGTTTGTTAAACCTAAAGAAAACAAAATGAAACAAAAAAATGTTTGCCTTATTTGTGATTACATCATTAAAAAATTGTGCATTTCACCTTTTAAAATACTGTGATGTACTATAAACTAAGAGAAAAATACGTTGAGTATTAGATGAAACTTGATTAGAAGAAATGAAATCCTTTGAAAAAATTAGCATTCTTTGAAGGCCTAAATGAAGACTCTTTCCTCAGATTTGTCAAGTTTGCAATTAATAATCACACTGAAAACAAAACAAAACAGCTAAGTCTGTTCAACTGTGAAGGCAACTTCAAATTAATCTGTTCAGCTGTGAACCTGCAGAAACAATTGTGTAAGCATAAAACTGCGTGACATACAAGCACACACCACAAGTCATCTCTCATGCTGTGTTGCTGTAAAAGCACTGATTTGACATGACAGAGAAGTAAAAGTTGCCCAGCACTCAGCAATTAATCACAGTATTCAATAATCAATGAACAAAGATAAAATTCATTCTACTCTTCAGTTTTCATAAGCTTTCCTGGCTGGAGTTAAAGACAACTCCCACACACTTCACCAAAGAAACCAAACAAAACTAACATGCCTTCTTAATGTTTTAGTTACAGTGGGACACAAAGTAAGAGTTTAAGAACTCCCAAACCAGAAATAAACAAAATGTACACAACCTCAAAGCACATGGACATATTTCTCTAGCATCCGGTCTTAGCAAAATACACTAGAATTTAGAGCATGTATTAAAAATTGTATTTTTCACTGCTCTACCAAGTATTGTTTATTCACATATGGGTGAGGCTCTACTACTCATAAAGCCTACAATTTTGTGGAATAAGGCAGCCACCAGCCCAGTTTCAACATCAACTTCAAGAAAAGAAATGAGCTGTTAAGTCCCCCTCTTCCCCCGCATGGCCCCACCCCCCAAGTATTCTGCAGAGAAAGTACTCAAAGCTGTAATGCTCCCGCAACAGATTTCACAACACACAGGACTTCCTGTGCTCTAAAATAATATTTTTTTAAACTATGAGTAGTTTATTAAGAGCCTCTTATCAAACCCTGCCTTCCTTAATACCAACTGAGACCGTTTCAAAGAAACGTTCTTTATTAACAGGCTAGAGGTATGCCACATAAGCTGAAAACAAAATCCAAATAAAAAGGTGTGATAGTTTAACTCAGCTGGCAGCCAAACAAGACACAGCCACTCACAGCCTACCCGCCCCCCCCCCCCCCCCCCGGCCCGC